GACCAATAGGCGGGCAGCATTTCGGCCACACCCACAACCCGCGCTTTAGCAAGATATGGTTGAAAAAGATGTTTCTCAAACTTGTTCAAAAGATACATTTGTAAATTGTTTTCTGAAATTCTGTGTCTTTGAATAGTTGGAGCAAAATAACTACCGAGCCGAGTTAAACCATTTCGGCACTGGGCTTCTGGTGCTTACGTCGGCCGCGCGGCGTACAAAACAGTATCTTAGGCCAAGTCTTTGTCTGTGAAAATGTAAGAAAAGAGGCCTTGCAGTCCTGTCCTGCCGATAACCTTGTTGTCTCGATTAAACTTTGTTACCCAGGCGGTATGATCTCGAAAATATTCTTACATTGTTTATCTGACATTTCCAACTCCGATTACCTGCCGCGCCGTATGGAAGGATGCTGTTCAACCCCATTGTCAAATGGAATCGACCGCAAAGTGGGCGTGGCGCGGAATGCTGGTCACCCATTGGTCGCCGCTAGGCTATGTGGATGTGAAATTGATGTAGGCCCCCCTCCCCCCCAGTGCACCAGCCCTCCCCCCGGTAAATATCGTACAGTCCCTTAACAAGGCCTCTCTCTCGGTCATAGCCAGGAGCGCGATTAGTCAGGCTATGTTTAACTCCATGCTGCACAGGTTTGTGCACACGCACGTGCCAAAGTAGTGGGTGGAATTCTGATGAATTCCGCCAGGGGGCGCAGCTGCTTGGAAGTCTTGCTGTTCGTGAGGCTGTGGATGGGGGGAGTTCAGTAGCCTGACGTCCTAGACAGGCAAGGTAGACTGGTAAGGTAGCCTGGTAAGGTAGACAGCCCAGGTTTTTCCGTAAACCCGACGACCGGGTGTGTTTCCATATACTCGTCAAACCTCTTCTTGAAACTGGAAACTATTATCAACTTCTTGGTTGATAATAGTTTCCGGGGATGCTCATCACCCGATCTACAGCTGCGTCTGAGCTTCTGGGTGGTCATGTAGGATATAATAGTTTTATAGCATTCATAATTCATATTGAAGTGCACAACATGGAAGTTTGATTGTTGATTGGCTTTGAACAAGAGGTTAAAGGGCAAGTGTCACTCCCAGGTTAGGTGCTTGTTTACGTGGCGAATGCAAGAAGAAAGTTCTGGCTTTCGCCTGAATTTATTGGTCAGGAACACTAGGTATAAACTAAGCCGTTTCTAAAACGTTTTATCTTTCACCGTAGGCAAAATTTGATGTTAAATTTCCTCAGATATTCGCAAAATCAGCGCATTTCAGACGACGTTTTCGATTGCCGCCGTGCATGGCGCTGAGACTTGTGGGTAGCCGTGGCAGTGGCGCAGCCGCAGTGTTGGTGGTGTCGTTCCTGGTGGGCGCCAATGTTCGCAACATCGCCACCATGGCCTGGAAATCACACGGAAAAAACAACGCCGACCTTATCCGCCAGCTCAAAAGTAAGTCACAACCATCTTGACCACATGTTCATCCCACATAAGTGTTGACAACAACGCTTTTTGTTAGTTTTTGGAGAAAATTTCTGCCCGACGTCCTCTGTTTTGGTGTCCCGCCATTTTAGGTCAAGTGTTGATGCGATGTTTTGGGAAAGTTTGGGATGCCGTAGGCGCCGTAGTTGGTGAAAATTTTCGATGCAATCACCGACACCAAATTAGGCCTGTGTATGGAGGAATTGGAGCCCTGAAATGTTTTGGAAGGTCGCCAAAATCAACATGACGGGTCGGACGTACACTCGCAGAGGTAGGATGACGGCCCCGCCCCCTATAAATAGCACACGACAAGTCTAGCATAGAACTTGAAGTTTGGATCGAAAGTATAGATTTTACTCATTGCCTAGCTGTTCATTTAGAAATGCTCATCGTACTTAATATATTTGTATGTCCCATAATATTGCAAGTTTTCTTGCCACACCTTCTTATCATGAACCAAAGAAAAATCCTAACCAGAAACAAAACTTACAAGTTCTTTCTCCAAATTATTAAACTTATAAGCCCCTGCTGCTTATAATGCAGATTTTTGTGTGTGAAACACACTGCATATGACCAAGGATGTTTTAAAAAGTAACTATGTATTGACAGTTTGCCATCTATTAAACAGCTCTTGAGGTATTTTTTCCACGCTTGTCTGTCAAACAGAAATGTGATCATTTGCTGTATATCCTGTACATGTGATTGTCCTTGAGCAGTACAGAAGCTTCGTTGTCAGTGTGTGTTTTTTTTTTTTTGCAATCAATGGAAAAATCAATATAAGTGGACATTAGTAGTCATGGTCACCAACATAGAGCTTGTACCCAGAAGGTTTTACAAGTACATGTACTATATTATATACAAAATGTAGTGGATGTAGTAGTAAATGTATCTGTTCAGCATTTTTCTGCAGGATTTTGAAATTTTGAATAGTTTTAGTTAACTCAACTGTGTGATGACAAACACATGCTTATGAAGCATATGAATTTATGATTTGATTACATAGTATATATTGTAAGTACATGTGTAGTCTAAATCATATGTAGCAGAAAACATTAATAAAGTATTTCGAGCCCAGTCATTGTTGGGGGGGGGTGTTCCTGCACACTTCTTGTCACACATACCCCAGTGATATTGATGTAACATTGGAGATACATGTATCTGATTCCCAGATAATGGCATCATCAAGACAGACAGAGTTTTCGATGCCATGAAACAAGTAGACAGAGGCAACTACTGCAGATTCAGTCCATATATGGACTCACCACAGAGCATAGGTAAGGTATTCTTTGCATTATTACCAGTTTATTACCAATTTCACTTCTATCCTAGATGTGAAAGTCTCCTTATGTCACATTATCTCACATATATCCTATATGCTACTAGTAAAGGTCCAAATGATGCCACACAGCATTTGGCATTAACCTCATGCAATCCTACATTTATGTACAACCCATTAACCTTCTTCCTGCTGAGGTACCCTTTTGTTCTCATATTTGTCAAGGGCTTGGTTGGAGGGATGAGGAATCGATATTTATGTGCATGTCTGCATGACTTAAGTTAATTCAACTCATTCAAACAATTGTTTTGGTCTACGTACATGTAGCTGTGTCATAAGATTATAAACGATATTATGTGCAGAATACATTTTACATTTTAATGCTTGTTGCGTAAGTGTTTACAATTTTTCCTACACATCTTTTCTCATAGGATATGGAGTAACCATTAGTGCACCACACATGGTAGGTTTTATTCCTCATCAGATTTGTATCTAAATTCTAAATCCCAAGTCAGATAGATTTATTGACTTTTATGTCTTCTTGATGAGCAGCCTAGAAATTCCATTTGCATGATGAAAATGTTTGGCTGTGTGTTACCAGTATTGAAGAAGGGAGAAAACATGTGCAATATTTCGGGCTGTACCATTCGAAAAATTGCTACTCACAGAGTCCTCAACATTTATTTGTTTTTAAGTAAAATTTAACACTTTATCATAGTTTATAATGCATGTATATATACACTGTATATATGTACGTGGGAAGGTTGGAGGAGGAAGCCAAAAGTGTTTTTTTACTGCTATGTTGACCTTTCACAATGGTATAGCCCTTAGCAATTGTCTGTAGTCAGAGTTTCATTGTTTGGTAACATGTTGGCTTCCTCCAGCATGCACATGCCTTGGAAATCCTGAAGGATCATTTACAGGAGGGTAGCAGAGCGCTGGACGTGGGGTCTGGTAGTGGCTACCTTACTGCCTGCATGGCACTTATGGTATGATCATCACTAGTATGCTGTATCCACTTATATGCAATATAAATCTCTTATTTTGAATTTGAGAGTTAGGACAAATGGCATCATTTAGGAAATACCAATTTGTTGAACATAAACTTTTCTTCTTACTGCTTTTCCACCAAACTTGACTAGATGCTGAGACGAAAACAAAAGTAGTGACCAAAATGTAGAGAGGTCCACAAGCATGTTTTCCCAAGTAATGTTGGGATTTCTAAGTCCCTAGAATGCTTTTTCCCTGTAATTTGATAGGCAAATATTAACTCAAAAGTATGGTAATACAGACCATATGCATCATTTTATAGAAAATGTAAATGGACACCCCTAGACACAGTTGAAGATGTCCATCGCAAAAGAAAAGATGTCTAAAGACATCAGAATGGAGCAATCACTGGAGATTTTCTGTGATCTTGTAAGAATAACTGTCTTTATTTTTCATCTCAGGTTGGCCCCACAGGTAAGGCTGTGGGAATAGATCACATTGATGAACTGGTAAATATGTCCATTGCCAATGTCAACAAGGAACATCCACAACTCTTGAAGACAGGACAGATGAAGCTTATTCGTAAGTATAAGGTGACACAAGTTTGATTTCATGCACAACATTCACAATCATGCAAGATGATAGAGGTATTAATACTCATAGGAGAATGGACCTTTTAGTATATAACAATTGTAATTTTGCTCATGTTGCAGTTGCGAAGGTTCAAAGTGACTTTTAAATTTGTAGCAAATTCTTGCAAGGGTAGGGTCATTGTTGCATATCATTGCTCACTAAGGAGTTCATAGCAGAGTACCGATATTAAAATTGTACACTGTTGGGCCATAATGAATTACGTGTCTTGTGTTAACTAACATCAGTTGGAGATGGTCGTCAGGGGTCTCCAGAAGATGCACCATTTGATGCCATACATGTTGGCGCTGCTGCACCACAGATACCACAGGCAGTAAGTCCTCATCTTCCTATACTTTGGACCTAATTGTTGTTAGTCTTACATTAAATAGTTATGAGAGTGTGGGAAAAGGCTGTTCTGTTCCCTTGGTGAAGGTTATGATGGAAGAGAGTTCCGTTAATGGACTTAATGTTGTGACTGTGCAGTTGATCGACCAGCTGAAGCCAGGCGGCCGGCTGATCCTACCGGTGGGGCCTGCAGGTGGTAACCAGAACCTGGAGCAGGTAGACAAGCTGCCAGATGGCACCATACGGAAGAAGAACCTGATGGGGGTGATCTATGTGCCACTAACTAGTAAGGAGAAACAGTGGCCAGGAAGGTGGGTCAGGTGGTAAGTTTGGCATGCTGCATGCCCTGGGCTCCTCAATGTTCCGTGCCACTGTGGGGTGCTTTTGATACTTGTTCGTGCTGAAACCCTCATCCTACCTGGGATGGTGAGTAACTGTAGGTTGTTTAAAATGTTCAAAATGTTGGATTGTTTTTTGCTGTTTTTATTTTGCAAGCTTCAGCCCTAACTTGTAACCCAATGCAATCTTAACAGCCCTTTTGTGCTGCTGCAATTTAACTGAAAGAAATCTTCAGTGCTGCAGGATCACCCCTTTCAGGTGTACATTGAGGGGTGCAGATGTGGCAGCTGGTGCTTACCAGGCCAGAGAGCTGAGTTTTTAGCTTCTTGTTTCACTAGAACTTAGCATGGTCATTGATTGCTGGGAATATGCCTGATCTTATTGAGCAGAAAACGTGACACCAATTTGCAAGGTTGAATATGCTTTCTCTGATAAACTTAGGTCATTACCATCACTCTATTATGTACTTTTCTGGCTACTGCCTTTCTATGATCTTTATGTTGGTGTGTTTATATTTGGATGGAGGGTACTCTCCGAATGAATCATGGTAAATCCCAAGCTTCGTTGTCTTCCAGCTATTAGGCTTGATGCCACAAAGTTCTACCTTTTTCAAGGTAAATTTCTCCTACCCTCCTTCCTTCATTACCTGCTCTGTCATGTATTCTTCTGTTCCTTTCTTTTCAAGTCGTTATCCTCCTTACAGACCTCCAGACTTCTGCACTTACTTGTAAATTTCTGACTGTTGAAGCCTGATACAGAACAGGTAACAGCAGGGAAACCCAAAATAGTGTAATCATACTATCATAGTCCATTTATTTAGTATAGCCAGTACATGTATTTTGAAATTTGTGGTTCAAACTCTGCCTTACTTAAGCTTATCTATCATTTTTCTGAAGTGCTGAATTTTTATTTTCTTGGGAGACATGTAGCTGTCTGTCTAGATAAGTCAGTCTAGTAGTCTGGTAGTGCATCATTTACTAATCTGTAATCATTTGTACTAATGAATTATGATTTGTCTCTACTGTACTAATAGAGTTAATGAGTTGTCAATGAATAGACCTGGAATTTTGGTGTTTTGTTAGTACATTGTGTACTAACTTATTATGATTCTCAGTAGCATCCCTTGTTGGACATTCGTCCTTGTTTTGGATGTTGCAATTAATAATAACTGATGAGGTAGTTACTTTAAAGGTATAGTAGCATAGAAATGCTTAAGGGAAGAAAGACAGTGTAGTGCACTGTATAATATGACTCTATAATTTGCTCTCTACTCCTGTTTTTGCTGTCAAGTGTCATATACATGAGGCATCTATCAGTGCCCAACCATTACACCTTAAACATCAGATGTAACAAAATTTGTGATTAGTGTTAGAGCAGACTACATGCACTAATATGATGTGAATATAATATAAACTGGCCTTTATCTTTATATACACCAGCGACACAGTCTTGACTTCTGGTGGTAATACGAAGTTGAAATATTTTGCCCTACAGAGGTGAGCTTTGATAGGGGTGCTGCCCTACGGAGTTCTGCTTTGCTGTGCTGTGCCGTATCCCCAACCAACACTCAAGACTTCCAGCCAACAATGGGCTGCCTGATACACAACTTCACTCTGCACGCTGAGCAAGACAGCCAACCTAGTAACATGACAGTCACTATGTGGGAGGCCAAGATAACCTCAGACTACTGAGTTCTCATCCTCAGATATGGGAATAGTCTGCAGTCATGTCTCGTTTCTAAGTCCAACTGGATACTTCTTCCTTCTTCTCCCTAAATAGTTGAGAACTTAACAATACTCTTCAGATTGTCTTCTCTGTTGATACAGTTCCACACAGTGAATCAGTGGGGAAATTGCAGAAATTGCTCATGTGTTGTTAGTGCCCTTCTTTTCCTTTGACTTCCATCCCCAATCACTCATGTGAACGACTTGACAAAGTGGGGTACTAACTTCCCACTCTAAATTTATCTATCATCAAAAGTAGTATTTGGGAAAAAGTTTTACTTACTTACCTAGGCCCTTGGCCCCATGCAGGGCATAGGCCACCGATGACCTCCATCCAGTTCGATTTTGGGTATCCCTTTCCATATCCTTCTAGGACATCTCTATTCGCTATACCCTATCCCTAAAAAGTTTTAGAAACAATTAAATGCTTGAAGTTACAGCAAAGGTGGCCCAACCTGTGCTGTAACTTCTTTGTATCTGATTAGATACAGTAGTTCATTCATGAACCTGTATAACTGAACTCGTTTCATGGTTGCATAAATAATTTGAGTTTCGAAAAGTTCGCACCTAATTCTACAATGTGTTAGTCATAATGCAATTGTTTTATGGTGCCCCCTTCTTTTTATTCAGGTTTTTGCCCAGCCATATGCATTCATGTTTTGGAAAATAATTCTACAAAATAAATGTGCATATGATTACAAGGTATGAATTGAAAATATTAGAAATCAGTATCAACTATTGATGCTGGTAGTTTTCCTTATGGCAATAGTGACTGAATTTTGCTTTTAAACAGATTTAAGTTTTACATTTCAAGGTATCTTTGCAGAGGCAGTCATGTTGAAAATGGTAATGATATTGACGTACAGAAGAAAGCTTACAGAGTTACACATGTGCTACTTGATGTACTTAAATTTTCCCATGGTGTTCTCTCCCCCCCACCCCACCATGTGATGGTTCCCAGAGTCATTTCAAAATGAGAGAAGGGGCAAGGAATTTTAGGGTGGAAGTAAGAATGAACACATGTGATAGAAGTACATCTAGTGGGTCATGTATATCTGAAACATAACACAGTAGTTGTATGTTACAGCTGGATAACTGTGCTTCAAGGTGCAGCTATATAAATGTGTGTTAGCTTTAGATCATAGGGAAGTGTGATGGGGATGCTGGGAGAGCTGTCCAGCACACTACTTAAAGGCTGTTCTAGGAAAAAGTGACATGATGGCAGCTTGTTAACACCCCCACCTGCATTAGATTTATTTCCAGTGTTGGTGTAGCCCCAAATCTTGTTTACAGCCCTTCTTTGGGGCCGTTAAGTTGTGCTGTATACACCAGAGTGTTATGCTAAGGTCATATGCTTTGGTCTACCTTTTAGTTGTTTAAACATCTATTGAATTATTTTGAATAATACTGGTAACCTAGTTCATCTTCAGGCTGCTTTTCAACAGTAAGCAAATGCTTCTGTTTGTACATGTACACAAGAAAAAATAATGGATCATTGTATGATATTATGGAATGTACCAAAGTCAAGTTGCCTATTACTCTGTGGTACGTTTCTGTGTCTTCCTGGTTTCATATGGTCGTTAGCTTGACTTAGCAGGCCAACAAATCTGTTACAGTACTAAGTAGTTTGTGTTGAGCTAGTTGTATAAAACATTTGAGAAGAGGGAAGGTTTTGTAGCTGTAAATAAATTACACAAACTTGTTTACTTTTTTCCTGCTTAGGAGTGGTGCTTCTCTGTGTAAATGGAAGAATATTGGCCTCATTTGTAAAGGAAATGAAGTGCACCTATGTGCAGGACAGTCTAGGAAATGTGAACTTGTGATGAAATTTAGAAAAGATTTAGCTGGACTTGACACTGCAATTTTTTCTTGCAGAAATACTGTACATGTATGTGTACAAAGCGAGCCAATGTTCCTAAGGTTACACCAGATCTCATGTTGTATACCTTTATAAGATGCTATTAAAGACTTGAGCTTCGTATTGTGAATGTAGCTTGTGCTATTCGTCTGACATGTAGTCAGTAATCTCAAGTGCACTATAGAAACTTGTTCATGCACTGCAAAGATACATACATTTTCTTGGTACATGGACATGTTGGGCTTCTTATAACATTTTGTTCTGAATCTAATCCTGCTAGGGTATTTTCTTCATATGCAATACAAACATGGGCAGTTCCATGTAATATACCAATGTTTAATTTTGTGCTGAGACTGAACTACCAAAGATATAATATCACAAACTTCAGAAGCCAGAATTACCCTCATAAGACAATGTTTAATAATCCACATCCATAGAAAGGTGCACAACACCTTGCAAGAGCCTCCATTCTACCAACATAATAAACCATTTACAATCATCACATCTTAATTAGCTTTAGAGTTGTCCTATTCCAATATTGAAATGTTTGCAGCATGTACAATATTGCATCCTGGTTAAATGTGGAATTGAAGTTGCAAAAGATTCCAGAATTCTGGAAAGTTATTACCTCTAAATGGCACATCACAAGATACAGTTGTGATTCATCCACCCCACACTTTATTTTAATACAGGTATTCAAGAGCTTTTCCATAGCTCAGACAAACTACTAGTACATGTACTTCCCATCTAGTATATCAAAGCCATTCTCTGGTAGTAACAATTTGAAAACACTCACCATGCATACCATCTCATGATCAAGGACACAGCCATGTACAAAACTTCCCCCCAACACTGCCCAACTTGTCATTGACCAGAAGACGTTGATTGACATTCCAATAAATATACATATAACAACCAAAATTTACATACAACACACCGAATCTGCAAGACATTGCACTAAATACACTTAAAAATCAATGTAGAACATTGAAATTGCATATGTTCATTTTATATACTAGTACCAGGTCTGAAATACAATCTATAACCATCTGATCTGAAGCCATCTATACCAACATATTTGCACAAATTATATGCAAGATAGACAAAAGAACATGCCTTCAATGTAGTCCCAATCATATACCTTATATTTACAAATTTACATTCATGATTAGTTTGAAACCACATACAATTCCTTGGTACCATACAAGAATACTTAACATGGTTTCTTTGATACTGCAGCACACATCAAGATGCATGTTAAAAAGTGGTTATTAACTGGTTATTTTATCAGTACTCTATATGCCAGAAATCCTTAAGCTTGTCAAGCCAGAGAGATTTTGTATATGGAAACCTCAGAAGCACTCAGATAAAGTACTGCAATCACAGTGGCTCACCATACTTAACAGGACTCCCACATTTTTATGTTGCTATGTTTTTGTTGAGCAGAGTGTCTTGAAATGTCTTACAATATTTTCAAGATTTTCCTTAGAGTGAAAATTGAATTTGTTGAATTGTTTTAGCTGGTACATGAATAAAACATCTCCAAGAATCCTACAGTATATGGCTGTATGAACTCACCTGCTACAAACTAAAGAAATGAGCTGAATATTTTAGATGTTGCGGTAAAACTTTCTTACAGAGTAGTGTTCTTATGATGTCAAATGCATTAAGCTTTGTTAGTACATGTAGTTTATATACCAGCGACAGTACTCAATATCTTCTTGTCCACTGTTACATTGAAGCATTCATTTTTTACCACCAGCTTTTGCAAGTTTTTTGAGCTAGCATTTCAGATTCTACCTTATTGACGGCATGATCTGCTTGGGTTCAAAGGTACATGCCATTGATAAGATAGTCTGCCTCTGCATTAGTTGCCAGCGACCTGCCATACTTCAGCCTGCCCTTCACCTGCCTCAGCCTGCACCCGACCACCAGCAAGAGTAGGGCCGTTACTGCCAGCCCCAGAGCTAAGGGTAAAACTGCACCCGACTCTGGAGCAAGATGTGATGGTGTAGCATTCAGCCCCTTCTTCGACTGTGTAGCCTCCTGGTTGGTCGGAGGCTCTGCCTTTCCGTGCTGAGCCTCAGGAGGGGAGGTTGCTGGGTTTGGTGCAGCAGGGACCCCTTTTTCATGACTAATGTTGACCTCCACCACGGCGACCTGTACGCCAGGCTTGCCCTGAGGGGCTGGTGCTGCTGCCGCTGCCTTTGCTGTCTTTTCTGCAGGCTTTGGCGGTTGGGTGGACTTCACACGTGGTTGTTGTTGGCTCTTGTCCACGGATTCAGGTGTATCCGGACTGCCGTTACCAAATGGTGGCTCCTCTGTAATAAACGGCTTCTGTTTTATTGGCAAAACTGGCTTGGGTGGAAGTGTATGTTTAGTGGAGTGATGCTTAGATGAGGTGTGGTGAGGTTTACCATGTGTGGCCGCTTTTGTGGGAGCAACTGTCACCAGCCTTCCACCATACACAGGCTCCACTGTTGTAGAAAGGAAATCTGGAAAAACACAAGAATCCAACCACCATCAACACCGACCCACCACCAAGACAGAAAATCAGCTCAATTTGACCAGTTACAAATAGAAACTTTGAAGCTTGTCAGATTATCAAGATGTCATAAGTTTCCAATAGAGCAAAAGATGTTGTTTTGTAAAGCATGCCCTTATAAAAATACTATTCTATCTGTACTTCTTGCAATGTTACAAAGGAGACGTTACCTGGAAATTTGCATTTACAGATCTCACATCCCCTGGAATCTGTGTCCCAGCCGTAGGCACAGTACATACGGCACCTCACAGGCTCACACACTAGCTCAGGCTCAACTGGTGGTTCTGTGGACAAACAACTCAGTAAATTCTCCAAAGTGATCCTTTCCTAATTCTGTTGGTTGGTAGAAATTTCCTCAAACAAAAGGAAAGGCAGCATCTGTTCTAGTAACTCCATGCATTGACAGGAAAGAAAAATGGTAGTGAGTCCTTGTGAGTATGTAGCCAACAGCAGGGAAAATGTTAGGGTCCTGTGCACATGTTTTAACTACTGAAGTGAAGTAGCAATGTCATACATTTGTACATCTTTGTTGTCATCTACAAAATGTTACCTACAAAATGTCATCCAGTTCTGGATAACAACTCTTCATTCTCACTGCTACACTATTCCATGATCTCTTTTGGGAGGGAAGATCATAACTAAATATTTTCTGGCTGTCCTGGGGATAGGACGGTCAGAAAGTGTTACACTCCTTTCACAACAGCTTCATGGAGATTAAGTATTCTTCAACAGCAGTCGATCGAATTCAACTCTACTACTAGTATTACTACTGCATGTACCACCTTTTCAGCCACACAAAAGCAGGACTCTAGCAAGCAGAGTACCACCAGTGATCTACATGCTAAGAGGTGAGCAAGGGTTAGTGGGTTAGTGAGAAGTGGGGGGCAACCTTGGAGACACACCTGCAGGCAATGCCTGGTTACCATCTGGCGCCTCTGTGACCACTGCAGATTTTACATTTTGTGCCTCTGGCTCCCGAGCAACTGGAAACAAACCACTTGGTGAGTTATGATTCCCTTAAAACATTGGCATGAGTATTTAGCCCATTCTGGGAAAATCTGAAAAGCAACTAAGAACAGAAATGAGAGAAAAGTGAAATGATATTAGGATATCTGAACTATGTAGAAAGTTGATTTGGGGACATCAGAATTAAAGAGACTGCAGTGTCATTTGTAACAAAACAATAACATGTAGTATCCTAATTTTTACATATGAAAGTAAACCTACAGACAGAATCCATGTACTGGTGTAACTTTTTTTTCATTGATTTGTAAAACATGAATTGTCATCCCAAAATTTATAAGAAAAACTTCAGCACAGGGAGATCAAAGTACATTCTTGAGTTTACCTCCTTGACACACTTCCTCATCTGAGCCATCCATACACTGGTACAGGTTGTCACACACATAAGCCATGTGGATACAGGAGCCATCATCACATTGGAACTCCCATCTCTTACACTCTGTGGGTCGCACTGGCTGTGGCTGGGGTTGTACTGCAGGTTGTACCACAACAGGATGCACTGGCTCAGGGACCTCAACTTTTACAGTTTGAAGCTCCACAACTGCAACAAAAATGTACAGAAATGTTGAAGGTGCTTTTACAACAGCGAGAAACGTAGTCTGAATACTGTTTAGTTGGAAAAGAGGACAGCTACTAATTGACTCATTATTGTTATTGATTGTAGTTTATATAGTAATGAAAGAATTTATCTTTTAAGATATATTACAAGTACATTTCCATTCTTCCAATACTTGTCTAATATTTAAAAATTTATCTTTCTTATGCGCTTTGATCATCCTGTACTATACAAATCCATTTCAAATTAAATTTTTAACATCACAAAGAAACGAGAAGAAGTCGAACCTCTGTATTAGAGTAGTTTTAGAGCTGTTTGTACTACAAACATGTAACTTTATATTACCTATTTCATCTGTTCACCTGCACCTAGCCCGATAGGGCATGAATGTACAATAAAGGTTATTTTTGTATGTACAATAAAGGTTATTTTTATTCTTATTATTAGCAAACTAAGCAAAGCAGACTAACATTGAAAACACAAGCTATAAGTTCTGGTATGTGAGCAACCTAAAAGTTCTTTCCTGTAGCCATGTAAAAAGGAAACTTAAGATTGTTACTGTCAGATATGACCAGTGACCTGGAAAGTCTTGTGCTGATTATGCTGGCAAACTGGACAAGTTGTTCGACCAGGTTTTGTCACAATGCAGATAAAGTGGGTGTAACACACAGATGTAACACCAAGTCGTGTTTTGTGTGAAAGATGCACATACATTGGTACACACTTGGAAACTTTGTTGAAATAGCAATCTATCCAATTCTTGGAAAGTGCTTTGAAACATGATAACCACTCTACAATTGTTCTACTACCATTTTCTCAGGTAATACAACATCATGCTACTGACATGTGTACAGTATCTGACTGAAAATGTTCAGGATCACTTTTTCCCTTTGCCTTGCCATTTAAACTGCATACTACCTAATCACAACCATAGCCATGTGCTTTTTTTGTGCAAATTTAGATATGTGTCTCCCAAAAACTTCATTTTCTTTTATTCCACAACAGGAGTCCGTGTTGATGAGGACTTTCAAAGCAGCAGCATTTCTCCCTGATGTTGTCCTAAATCAAGCCAGAATTTATGCTCCATACACCATATGGCATGTCGTCCTGGGTACATAACAAGTGGTTGCATTAGTGGTTTTTGTGGGTATTTCTCTCAATAAAAGACATTGCTGTGATCCTGTTTAGAGCCTGAAAGGGCACCCATTAGAGTTTCAATTCATTGTTGATTGCTTCATGGCTTTTGACGTCAGACGTTGATATTCTTTTCATTATTTGTATCTGAGGCCCCTGAAATTCTACTCCATGAGTCATTGTTCCTCTGTTTGTTTAATTTATGGATGACTAAATACAAGCCAAGTGCCACAGTTTCCAGGGAAGGGAGGGGACAAACATTTGCTTTTATCTTCCAAGAAATCGTGACATTCTCACTCGGTGTGGAAATCTGCGTCTTGATTTGATAATCCACAATAACAAGTTTAGCCTATCTTAAAAACACAATAACCATGCCAACCCTGCAACCCTTAATTTACTTTAAATGCCTGGAAGCCATTCGCCATAGCGTGCCCTTTAACATTCTAACCTATGTCGTTTTTGTTTGTTTCCTGTAGTGGAACCATTCTATTATTAAAAAAAAAATGAAGTACCCTACCGTGGGGCTCGGTGGGCTCAGGTACGGGAACAGTCTGGGGTTTTTGCGTCTGAGGCCTGGTGGTTGGAGGCGGCGGCCTCTTGGTGGAGGGGACGCGGTGCGTGGTGACTGCCTTTATGGTGGGCACAGTGGTCACAGGCCGGTTCATCTCCTCACTCTCCATGCCGGGCTCTGCTGGCAGCGGCTCCAGGTCGCCCGGGTCCCGCTTGGTCATGCTGAGATAGCCGGAGTGCGAGGCGAAGAAACACCTGCCCTGGCAGCTGAACAGGTAGCAGTTCCGGCTGCTGTCGGCGCTTCCCGCTCCGCTCTCGTACACCGCGGTGTCGCAGCCGTCCGTGGCGCAGCACGTCTCCAAACACGTCTCCTGGTCCACCACCTCCATCGGAGAGTCCAGGAACAACGCCTTGTTCTCCAGGGATTTTGTCGTCTGGATGATCTGGTTGAGATCAGTCCTGAACAGATCCTCGCACTCCGGCTCCGCTCCCTGCACCAGCTCTTCTTCCAGCTGCTTCAGCAGAGACGAGATGTTTTCATCCCCCTGGTAAGCGTCGCTAGCGGACAAGAGCAGCAAGGACAGACACAAAACTTTCCGTAAATACTCCATTTTCTCCCTAAAAGTCTCAGACTACAGCATTCCTCATCCAAACGGCGTGAAGACGTCCTTGACGGTCAGACGCCGAACGCTGCCATCTGTCAGTTCTTCCTCTCCAAAATGGCGAATGTGATGTGTAGTACGCCTGTGCGGAGTGACGTCACCCGTCCGTCCAGGTGAGAACGCATTCCCATCACGCACCTGAGCCCGGGGGCTAGAAAAACTAGTAGTCTTCAACAAAAGCCAGGGCTGCGCATATAGTTGTCTTAAACAAAAATCGTCATGTCCTGCTACAAACATCTGGTAGAAAATGAGGAATGTCATTTCCTTGTAGCAGATCTGTTGGATTTCCTTCAAGCCAAGCCAAGCTAAGTTAAGCTGATGCAAGCTATTTTACTTGCTTCTGTGCCAAGTGTCAGCAAGAAATCTTCCTCATAGCAGAGTTCAACTCAAGTATACTAGTAGTCAGCAGAAAAGCCTAGCTTTATAAGGGAGGTTCACAGACGTGAATGGTTTTCTACAGAAAGGGGAGCAAACTGTGCACACACCGGATTTTTAAACACAACAGGAATTACTACAACTCCCTTCATCCACATGAACTCATCCCAGTTACGTTAGCTGCATCTGTATACATTTGTCCAGCACTCTGCCTCTTGGTAAGTCTTTTTAGAGTAGTTCCATATCCTCTATATTAAAAAGGGAACCCATATAGCATGCTTGTCAAATGGGTTAAGTTCCTCATTCGTCACCACTCGGTTTCCAGTGATGGCTTTTCCAGAGCCGAGAGCGTGGTTTTCGTAGTTTTGCAATTCCTTTCACTTTTCAGTCATGAAATAAAAATGCCTCTCGCGAAACGTCTGGAAGTATTTCTCCATATCTCATTAATTTAAAGAAACTGACAGCGTAATTGAACACAACACCCAACATAATAACACCTTTCACCACAAGAGAGTGAAGAATTGTCTTAAGTGCCACGTCACCCCTTTCAAACCATTGAAGCGATATCGATAAAGTGTGTTATTTCTGATTGACTTGTTCAACATGGTTTTTCTACACAATTCTGTAAGGCCATGTTGATTTGATTATATGGATGACATCCTCTGGGAACCCCAAAACTGATGCGCGCGTGCGAATAAAAAAAAGTTTTGCAAAAAAAATTAGCTTTCACTATGAAATCTACGTGGTCATGAAGGTTGAACAAATGGCACAGAATATATTATGGCGAATAATCTACTCTTCGAATTCATTTCTTTACATTTTTGGTCTTTTTTCCTTTGAATTTTTGGCATTCTTCG